AGCTCAGCTCTGTTTGCCCTCCCAGCCCTGCAGAGTGTTCTCCACCAGCTGAGACTTGCTTTCCTGGCCACGCAAACAGCTCCTTAACTGCAGCTCATGGAACCAGGGAAAGGTTTGTGTTGGAAGGGACCTCGAAGGTCATCCAGTTCCAACCCCCTGCAGTGGCATCACCACCCCTGGAAGTGCTCAAAACCCACGTGGAGGTGGCACCTGGGACAGGGGTTAGTGGTGAACACTCTGCTGGGTTAATGGTTGGGCTTGAGGACCTCGAAGGGTTTCTCCAACCTCGGTGATTCTGTGATCCCAGCTCAGACATCCCCACGTTTTGCCTGAGGAAAGGACTAGGAAAGGCTGGCAGGCATTTTGGGAGACAACAGGAACCCCCAGATTGCTCATTTCCCACTCTGGGTTCTGAGCACTTGGGTTTTCTGCCCTCTATGAACCACCCCCTTCTCTCCACCCTCAGGAAAATAAGCCCTCAAAAAACAAAAAAACAAATGGTGAAGAGGAGAATTCCCTAAAGAGAGAGCAGGACAAACTCATTTCCAGTCTCCTCCTCCCAGCTGGAGCTCCAAGCGTGTTCATGTCTCCAGCCCATCAACCAGAGGACACTTGGACCAGAAAGCATCACCATGATCCCTGAAAAATCTGCTCTTCCAGAGCTCTGCAGCTGAGCCCCAGCTCAGGGAGGGCAAACAGCAGCGGGAAAAAAAAAGAGAAATAAACAGTGAAACCAGTGAAGAAACAAACAGTGAAACCAGTGAAAAAACAAACTGTGAAACAAGTGAAGAAACAAACAGTGAAACAAGTGAAGAAACAGTGAAACCAGTGAAGAAACAAACAGTGAAACCAGTGAAAAAACAAACAGTGAAACCAGTGAAAAAACAAACACACGAGCCACGTTGACACCGAACAAGCTGCAAACACAAACTTCCTTTGCTTAAATAACAAAAACCAACAATCAATACAGCGAGGCCCGAAGTGCAGAGAGGCTCTGACAAAGCACAAGTGCTTCAAAAGTGGGATTTAAGATCCCAACTTGAAAAGCCACAGAAGGCCAGAGGATGATTTTTATGGGAATGCTGCTCGCCAAGCAACGCTGGGTTTCTCTCTCGAGCTTCAGCTTTAAATATTGATCAAAATTGCTTGTCGTGGAGGAAATAAAAACACTTTATCCTGTATGAACCTGGAATAGAGGTCATGGAGTAAAAATAAAAAGGTTTTCCCCCACCAAACATCAAAAAAACCCCAGAGGAATTACCTGAATAACCAGCAACCAACAGAGATCCAATTTCTCACCAATACTATTCCTATAAACACGTATTGATTGATCCCTTCCCCTCTGCTTATTTATTAGGGGAATAGTGAGTTCTAGAAGCTCTGCAGGAAATTGGCTGCACTGCAGGAACTTTGGGACACCTAATCCACGGAATTCCAGCCTCACCTGACCATTCCATGGAGTTGCTGAGGGAGATCAGCTCTGCAATCCGTGAGAGTTTAATACTTTCTTTACATAATTATGAGCCAGGACACAAAGCAATGAAGATCTGAGCTTGTCTCACTGCTCAGTTCTATTTTCACAGGATCAGCAGCTCCCTGATTTTCCACAGAACCTCAACAGATTCCCCCCCTTTGGAATCTGCTCTTGCCAAAGCACGTGGTGTTAAACCCCAAATATCACAGGGCATTAATGCCTTTGCAGGGCTCGTTTTGCTCTGCTTTTTTTCACCACAGTCACCAGTTCCCAAGAGTTTTTAAATTACCCCTGAGGTTTCCTGGTGGACTGAGCACTTCCCTGACGTTCTGCTGCTCCCTTGAAACCTTCTCCCGGAGAAGAGTCTTGGAAAGGGTCTCTGTTTGAGTCCATCATTGGCCTCGGGGCTGATTTATAACCTGTGGCTATTTATAACAGGGGTTTTATATGACAAACTAATCATTTTTTCTGGATGGTTCCTAGCCTGCCATTCCAGGGCAGTTTACACGAGCTGGGCTCTCTCCCATGGAGCGAGGGAAGGCAGGGAATCTGCTGCTAATCCAACATAAATACCCCTGGAGTCAGTCTGGAGTGTGGCACTGAAATCATTTGCAAAACATGAAACCCGAAGAGAGCTTTAAAACCTCATAACCTGGCAGCTCCCAGCCAGGGAAAATATCCCCCTGAGTGCCTGGGACTGGGATCCCAGCACTGGGATTTGGATTTGTCCAAGGCCTGGGCCATGGAGGCAGCTCTGCTGTGCTCCTGACTCACACAGAGCCCATCCAAGGGTGAGGGAAATAAAGAATTCCCTGCAGACTCCACGTGGGAAGGGCTGATCCAGCCAGACAAACACGGGAGCAGGGAAGAACAGCAGGAGCAGGAACAATCCAGGGATCTTGGGACAACAGAGCTCCCAGGGCAAAAATGAGAGTGGCCATTTGAGCATAAACACACCTGAAAGGTGACTCTGAATCCTGACAATCAATCCAGGAGTTAAGCCCTGGCCTGGACCAAACACCTGCACTCTGGGATGAATCACTGGGATTTTTGGCCGGATTTTCCACCAGTCTCAGTGGATTCTCCACCAGGCTCATAAACCACAGCCTTCAGCAGGTTTTGTGAGGGCATCCAGCACTGAAAGAGCTAAAAAACCTGCTGGTGGCACTGCCTGGACCTCAGAGACAAGGGCAGAACATCTTCCAGGAGCCCCAGGAGATGAATCCACCACCTCACCAAGCCACCCTTAGCTTGAAGCTGGAAACTCAGAGCTGGGCTCTGTTTAGAATGAGGAGTTAATAGTGAAGATAATCACTTTTACAGACTTTCACCCTCACAAACCCACTCTGATCTGCATCAGTTTGGTCTCAACACGAGCTGGATGTGCAGCCAAAGGCCTGGTGGGGATTGATGCAAACATTGAGTGAGACCTTTGCAGAGGAAGAGGAGGGAGCAAGGGCAGGGTGAAGACAGCAAAGTTTTAGTGATCAGTAACCCATTCATCTCACAATAAACTTTCTGAAGGTGTTCTTGATTTAATATTTAGGACCTGGGCAGAGTTCTGACTCAACTTATTAATGTTTGAAGGTGATTTTCTGCCAAACCTTTCTGTGAAGAACTCGAGAGTAAGAAAAAAAACTTCTCCCGGTAAGAAATGTACTTTTCCTCACCTCCACTTCCCCCCAAACCTTGAATTTATTAGAAATTTTAAAGGAAAAAAAAAGCTGCAGCAGCTGTTTGTGAGCCCAAGAGTGAGGTGTCCCCATCACATCCCCCTCAGCTCATATGGAGAGCACTTAAATACCCAGGAATATGGAGAGCTTGTCTTAAACACCCAGGAAAAACCCCAACCACTTCATCTGTGGCTTTTTTTAGCCTTCTCCCCTTGCACTCCACAACCAGCCACTGGGTGGGATTAACACACTTGGCCACTGCAGCACAGGCTCAAGCACGTGGGGTTTATTTTGGTATAAACAACTCCTTCATCCCGAAGACTCCCGAGTTCTTAAACCCTCTTGGCCCGTGAAGTTTATGACAACAGAAGAGCTCTGCAGCTTTGCTTTGCACACCATTAATCTCCCCCCTCTCCAAACAGCTCAGGAGCCTCACAGAGGGTTTGTCTGAGCCCCAGCCCAGCCTCGTGTCCATATTAGTCAGGAGTTTTGTGCAGCCACAGCAAGAGCATCTCGAGGGTTTCTTGGCTGCTTCAACCCATTTCACTGCTGGATGGGCAAGATCACCCAGAGCTAAAGGACTCTTCTAGAAAAAAAAATCACATTAAAACAAACTTTCCTTTCCAGCAGATCCTTCCACAGCTCCTCAAACATATCTCTGCCTCCCTCCAACCTCACCAGCAGCATCACCTGGAGCTTCCAGAAATGTCATATATTGAGCAACCTGAGCAGCCCCAGCAAGGGATGACATTTCCCCCCCCTTCTGCTGCCCCAGCAATCTTGGTTTTCATTGCACAAATTTATTGTAGGTGAGCAAAACCTGCAGCAGCAGAGAAGGGATCTCTCCCATTCCCTGCAAACATCCTGGACTCGTTTTGGGGCCTTCTTTCCACCTATTTCTGACACTGTTCCACAATTTTCTCAGCTCAGCTGAATCACTAAAAGCCCAGGAGTCTGTTGGAAGGGAAAAGCTGCATTAAATGAGTGTGTGTGGGGTCTTCTTTGGGATTAAGAACATCCCAGGATGTTGCCACCCCTTGGGTCACACCTTGACCCACAGAATATCACCACCCTTTCACTGTATCAAGCTGAGTTTGTCTGCAAAGCTGCTGGAGAGGGGCTCAATCTGACATTTGCACCAGATTTGTCTGGAAAACATTCCCTGGACGGTCTTTGCCAGCACTTCCAGGCTCTGAGCAGAACTCAGCCCTGTGACCCTGGAAAGCTGGTGGGAGTGAGCCTTGCCCTGGCCTGTCTTTCATTCCAAGAGGTGCTGCACCTGATCCAAGGTTTCCAGCCTCACTCCAAAGCTTTGCCAGGTTTTGGACAACCAGTCTGATGCCCCCTGAGAGCTGCTGGTTTTGTGGTGCAGCCCAAAGCACGGGTGTCTCTTACTAAAACATAAGAACACGGGGAGGGAGCTCAAAGTGGTGCCCTGGGTTTTTTACCTCTTCCTAACAGCCCCAAAGCACTGGCAGGGAGTTATTCAGCTTCAGTAACATCAGGGAAATACTCTGATACCAAGAATTAAAGAGCTCAGATTGGATTCCCCTCCAATTCAACACACTCCTTGTCGATACATCCAGTTCCCACGAGAGAGACAACTTAAAATCGCACGGAAAAGGCAGTTTTGCCAGCAAACCCTTGTCTCCTTCCTCCACCACACACAGAATAAAGTCACTGTGTCATTCCCCCCTCTCAATCCTTCATTTACAAAGTCGAGCACCCCCCAATGGACCCCAAAAGTTCATGCTGATTACAAGTGCTACTGTGAAATAAAGGTACAACACGACAAACCCCCCGAATCTCAGGCGAGCACCTGGTGAAGCACAAATTAAATATCAGAGTCTGTGTCAGAGGCACAAAAGCACGTTTTTGGGTGACAAATGACCCGGTGTGGACCTGGAGAAGCAGCAGCCTCTGAAAGCAAAGCCAAGGGGGGCTGTGAAGGGGAAAAGGGCTCTTGGCTTGTTTGGAAGGATGCCACGGTCCCAGGGAGCAGTTTTTGAGGTCAGAGCAGGGTTTTCCTCAGTCCAATCTACACTGCAGGGATGTGGTTCCCATCCTTCCCTTCCCAGGATGTGGTTCCCATCCTTCCCTTCCCTGCTACGCTCCCATCAACATTCCCATGAAGTCGGATCCGTTCTGGATGGTGACGGGAGCTCCGGCGCTGTTGTCCACGAAGATGGAGGTGTATTGCCCAGCCTGCAGGAGAAAGGGAAATATCTGACACATTCCAGCATAAAAAGGGGGGAAAAAAACCCCATTTCACCTCCATCAGCTAAGCCAAACAGCCTCCTGCCCTTCCCTGGGGGAACAGGATCTGCCCCAACATCAGCCTTGACTGGGAGGGAAGAGATTTTCTGCAGGGAAACTCTTATAGGTTTATTTTAACTCAGTCCTTTCTGCACTGGCATCTTTTGGGGTGACCTGTGCTTCAGCTTCCCTCTTGTGAGATGGGAAATCCAAGTGTCACTTTGGCAATGCCAGGGGAGAGTGGAGAAGGAAAAATATTGGCTTTCATTTCTTAGAGGGGAGGTTATTTCTGGACCTGAAGATCAGGATGTGAAATGTGGATCTGCCCCAGGTTCTCTCCAGTCCCCCCCAGCTGAGGCATTTCAGTTCATTCACATCAGGAAAAGGGGCATAAAACCTTCCCCCTCTGCTGCTGAGAATTCAGCCTGGCCAGGAAATAATTCCAAAGCCTTCCAAGAGAAGCAGGGCAGTGATTCCCGGGGTGCAAGGACTCACCTGCAGCTGCAGTAACCCGTGGACGTAGATAGTGAAGATCTTGCTGTTGCTTTCCAGCCCAGCAATGACTTCCAAAGACCTAAAAAGAGAAACAAACGGGTTAAAACCCCTTAGGCAACCACAGCAGTTGTATTTGGAATGACAACTGGCTCACAACCCCCCTGGAAGTGAGACCAAGGGTACTCAAGAGGTGACCTGCTGGCATTTGGAAGTGTCCAAGGCCAGGTTGGAGCAATTTGGGATAGTGGAAGGTGTCCCTGCCATGGGATGGAACAAGATGAGCTTTAAGGTCCCTTCCAACCCAAACCATTCCATGATTCCACGATTCCAGCAGGAATCAGCTGCCTTAAAAATAAAACAGAACCTTGTCCTCGCTGTCTGATGGAAACCCTACAGGGGACTCACACAGGGCTGGGAATCCAACACCCAGCTGGGGGCAGGACTGGGAGCCCTCTTTTCTCTCACCTTCTCAAGGTCCTGTAGTCTCTATCCCCACCCTAAATGCCCTTTAGATTGATCTACACATCAATTATCCCGTTTTTCTGACCCCCACAACAGTTTATACTTGTTGTTCTGCAAAAAGCTACAGGCACTCTGCCAACAACAGCTCGTTTATTTGCAAGGTGTGAAAGGCCTGTTTCACCTTAACGACACAGGCAGTCAGCCTGGCTGAGAAAAACATCCCCTGCAGCTGTTTTGGGAGGACATTTGGATCGGGGGCACGTGGAAGCAAAAAAACCCAATCATTGAATAGTTGTGCTTCGGCTCCAACTGGAGCAGAGCTCCACCTCACCCCCTCAGGCACTGCTCTTTTCTAACATCGTGCTCTAAGAGCCATCCTGTTCCTTGGGAGATGCAGGACAGCTGCTCCTCTGTTCACAGAATTCCAACCTGGCTCCCCTGGGCAGGATCCAGGGTGGGAGGAGGTTCCTGAGACATCAGCACGGCCTGTGTGAGCTCAGCCCCAAAGCAGCATCCAGAACGGATCCGACTTCATGGGAATGTTGATGGGAGCGTAGCAGGGAAGGGAAGGATGGGAACCACATCCCTGGGAAGGGAAGGATGGGAACCACACCCCTGCAGCGTAGATTGGACTGAGGAAAACCCTGCTCTGACCTCAAAAACTGCTCCCTGGGACCGTGGCATCCTTTCAAACAAGCCAAGAGCCCTTTTTCCCTTCACAGCCCCCCTCAGCTTTGCTTTCAGAGGCTGCTGCTTCTCCAGGTCCACACCAGGTCATTTGTCATCCAAATGCTTCTTCCCTGCCTCCCCAGGGCTGGCTGAGCTTGTTGTTTTCCCAAGAAAACCAACCCCTTTCCTCCCTTTTTTTTTTTCCATGGAGGGGGTTGCTGATGAAACCTTGCAAGTGCAAACGTGCTGCCTGCAAGGGGATGATGTGAAAGGCAACTGGGGGCAATTTGGCCCAGGGAGAAGGAGCCACTTGGCACCAGCTTGGCTGAGGAGCTCAGGCTGTGTGTCATATCCTGCCAAAAGCCCAACTGGGGTGGGGACTTCCCATCATTAATCTCTTCCACTCCAACTGTCTCCTTCGCCTCCCGAGTTTCCATCCTGAGCCCAAAGCCCCGGGGGCTCTCCCAGCTCCCTCCCGGAGTGACTGAGTGTGCTGACATCCCAGGAAATGTGACTGTGTGTGCTGACATCCCAGGAAATGTGACTGTGTGTGCTCACATCCCAGGAAATGTGACTGTGTGTGCTCACATCCCAGGAAATTCCACAGGCATGGTGTCCAGGCAGGTTCCCATCCCTCCAGCCAGCTCCTTCCATGCCACAGGCCAGTCCCATCCCACCCACCCCACGAGAAAAGAGAATTCTGCTGGTTCTGCTTCACTGCCCAACCAACCCAGAGCCTTGCAGGATCATAAATTGTGACCCTGGACAGCTGAGGAAAACTCCAAGCCAGACATCAGAGGGTTTTATCTCAATGATTAACATCTGGGTCAGCTCTGTCTAAGAAAAAGAAGGGTTTGCTGTCCCAGTTCTTTGGAGAAGGCAGCTATAAATTCTTAGATGGCAAGTTAATCTCCAAAGATCCCAATAAACCTGCCTGGGCTGGATGGGACAGAGAGGTTCCCACACCCCAGCTAGAACCAGAACAGCTTTCTAGGAGCTTTCAGCTGAAAAGATGTGCAATGAAGAAGGCACAGGGAAGTTTCCTATTCAGATAATTCTTGTACTTGCATTTCCCAGAATGAGGAAGCAGGACTAGAGTTGTGCTGGGAGCAGAGTCTGACACCCAGTTTTTAGTAATAACCTAAAAGGACAGCAAAGGAGAGAAAGGCACAGAGAGCAAGGCTTGGAGACAGAAGTGAGTCCTCCAAAAGGAAATATTCCCTCACATCCCAACAGGGAGCATCTTTCCACGTTCCCAAAGCGTGTGGAAAATGATTTTGTGGAACTTGCTCATAGGAAATCCAAGGTCTGGGAATCCAAGTTTATCCTGTTCTGGATGAACTTGCTAAGATAAGAGGAGGTTGTTGTAGGTGAAAAGGAAAAAGCAAGAGCCTCCAAGGCCCAGGAGGTGCCAGTTGCTCCAGTTCCCTCCTTGACTTTCCCTCTTACCCCAGTCACTGAGGGGTGCTCAATACCAACCAAATCTTTTCCACAGCCCAATGAAACCTGGGAGAGGTTTATCATCCCAAATTTAATGTCCAATTCCCCTGCCAATAAATGCCTGTGGAGAGGGGCCAGTCCTATTTGCAGCTCTCTGACTCCCTGGAGGGCTGAACCAGCCAGTCCAGCAGCACATTGATGGCTTTGGGGGTTTGAAGTTGCACCTCTGGGGTGGTTTTATGGATAAAAAACTGGCAGGGCAGAACAGCCCTGGACAGGTATTTTTGCTCTGGTGACAAGGGCAGAGCCACAGGCTGTGGCCACTCTGTGCAAGCAGCATTGCCCTCTGCTGGGGGCTTTTTGGCCCAGGACAGGGGCTCCCCAAGCCCCTTTGTCCCAGCAAAGCTTTCCCAAATCCCCCTGAGCTCACTGGCCTTCCCTGGCACTCAGGGAACCTCAGGGCTGCAGCTCAAAGGGTGACAGGAGCACAGAAAATGAGGAGCCAACACACATTTCCATAGCCCCAGGGAACAAGGAGCAACCCCCAAGGGTGCCATGGCCTAAAAAAGCTGTTTCTTGAGCAGAGTTTTGCCCCCAGCAGAGGAAAATTCAGCAGCATTATCTAAGCAAGCTCCCCAGGTCAGCTGAGGCCACGAGAAGGCATCAAAAACCTCATACAAGCCCTGCACTTTCTGCCCCAGGACCCATTCCCCTCTATCTTCCACTTGTTCATTCTCCTCATCACTCCAACACCACAAGTGAGATGCTGGGATCCATGCAGGAGGAGGCTGAAATCCTAAAAATTGAGCTCTGGCCCCAAAATTGAAGTGTTTCTGTGGCTCTGTGTGTTAATGATGGTAGCTGAGCACTCAGCACTTGGAGCTGAGTTCCAGCTGAGTTCACTCACAATATCTGCATTTTAGGCATATTATTTTATATTTAGGTAAGAGTAGTAATATTTAGGTAATTAACTAAATTAGTTATTTAACTAATTAACTAAATCAGTAACTGAACTGAGAGGTTAAAAAACCAGAATTAAAGAAACACATAAAAACCCAAGGCCCGGATGGAATCTCTCCCTGCAGAAAAGTTCCACGAGCATTTATCACTTAAAACCCACTGCTGGTGAACCTGATTTCTCCCCCAGTTGGTTGAAAGATTGACCTGTGTGAGAAAAATAATTGCCAAGGCCACCCTGGGAGTGACTCACGTGTATCTGTGGCACAGGGACTCGATGCAGATCAACACCCGGACGTTGTCCCTGGCTCGGAGCTGCACTTTGCTCTTCAGCTCACTGTGGTCTGGGGGAAAAACAGAAGCATTTTCAGAACAGAACAGGCCACCAGGTGGTAGTTTTGGGCTTCAGAGAGGCACCAGTAGCCTCGTGGTTTCTGCACTGGGTTTGGGGGTGGGGGGTTACCGGGTGGGTTCTGGGAGAAGCTGCCAGAAAGTTCCCCCCTGTGTGATGGAGCCAGTGCCAACCAGCCCCAGGGTGGATCCACCTCTGGATCGAGTCTGAGCCCATCAGTGATGGTGGTAGAACCTCTGGGATAACAGATTTAAGGGGTGAAAAAGTGCCAACTGCGAGCAAAGAGAGGATGGAGAACACGTGGGAGAAGAGATGCTCCGGGTGCTCCAGAGTGACAAAACCCAGTCCAACCTGCCTTCGTGGAGTTCTGCATCATCATCATCTTCATCTCTCCCAAAGGCTTTTGTGGGAGCCACGATTCCTGCACGTATTTGGTCCCTGAGCTGGTGCTCCCTAAGGAATGTTGGTTGGTGTGGTGTGCAGGGAGCAGCCCTGCTGTGGTACCGGCACCCAGCCTAAGGCATGGCACCAAAGGGACATGGCACCAAAGGGACATGGCACCAAAGGGACATGGCACCAAAGGGACATGGCCAGGCTTCTCCCTGGATGCAGGGGGCTCTCCAGGACTCCTCCCTGCGTGGCAGAGGTTCCTGTGGACAGCACTCACCCACGTGGATGTTGGCTGAGAACTGGTAGATGCCCGAGACGGGCGCCGTGAACCGTCCCGTGGCCAAGTTCAGCCCCGTCCCTCGCAGGAAAGCTCCTTTGGCCAGAGGCTGCAAGAGGAGAAAAGCAGAGCCTGAATGAGCCTCCAGAACCCTCAGCAAAGAACCAGCCAACCTGCAGGAGAAAAAACTTGGAAAAATGTGCTTGATTCCCCCAGAAAACACATTCCAGAGGGGCTCTCTCTCGGCCTCCGGTGCCCACAAAAGGCAAAATTATCAGTGTAAGACACAGAGATGCTCCTTTTCCCACTGCTGAATTCTTCCAACTCAGCTTGACTAGACTGCTTATTCCATCCCTGTCCTTGTCCTTATTCCATCCCTGTGCTGGTCCTTCCTGCATCCCTGTTCTTGTCCTTATTCCATCCCTGTTCTTGTCCTTATTCCATTCCTGTTCTTGTCCTTATTCCATCCCTGTGCTGGTCCTTATTCCATCCCTATTCTGGTCCTAGTGGCCTCCACTGATGTTCTGACACACAAAACCTCCCATTATTGGAGTCAAGAGGTCCCTCTTAGTCCCCAGAACTTCCCAGATGAGGCCAAGCCCTGTCCCCAGGCTTAACCTGGAATCTCCCCTCCATTTTTCTGGTACCAAGGACAGACAAAACACTCCTGTGGGTCTCCAAAGGTTTTCTGCCCACTTTAGGTCAAAATCAGATGGCTTTGAGACCATTGAAGAGCAACTCTGGATTCTCAGAGATTCCATTTTAGTTTCATTTTGTTCCAGGCTTGGCTTCTCCAGAACAGGCAACAGGCAGCTTCTCCTCGTGGCAAGGAGGAGGCCTGGAGTCAAACTCACAGCAGATTATCTGACTCAGACTAAAATAAACCCTGCAAGAAATGTTGATTGTTTGGTTTGGCCTCGTGTGAGCTTGGCTGGGGCTGGGGAGAGGCTGCAGTGGGCCAAGAAAAAGCACATTAGTCAGCCTCTGCTTCCACCACAAGGGCACTCTGGGCACTGGGAACGTGTCCCCCGAGCCCTGAGGGGGGAGATTTGTCCCAGATTGGTTTTCTGGGACAGAGGAGCTGCTCAGGTCTGGCTCTGGGAAGGCTCACCCACACTGCTAAATCCCCAAACCAGCCCCAAACACACGGCTGAGTGACCTCAACAGCCAAATCTGACTGTGCCTTCCAACAGGAGATGGCAAAAAGGGGCCTGAGACACGGGGAACACATGAACAGCAGTGCTGCTACACCAAAAAAAAAGGAGTGGAACAGCTTTTTTGCCTCCCCTTTCTTGTTCATCACAGCCAGAAAACCCCAGCTCTGCCAGGGCAGGAGGAATAATTGATGTAGTTTTCTCTTTCAGTGCTCTGCTCTGGTCGACAAGGTGCTGATCAAAGGTTGGATTAAACAACCTTGGAGGTCTTTTCCAGCCTAAATGTGATTTAAAATTCTGAATATTTGGGGCTGGTGGTGTTTGGTTGGTTACTCCGTGGTCAAGGAGCAGAATGACCAACCTGCCTTTATTCAGCCAACCCCAAAGCAAGGCTCACAAAAGAGTTAATTCCTAGTTTTTACCTCTAAGAGCTAAGATTTAGCTCCAGTCTTAAATTTCACAGAACTAGAAATGTTTTCTGTGAAAATACATCCATTGCTCACGTGTGTGTACAATGGGAAAACAATAATAATGAACTGCAGGGCAATTGCATGTCATGCCATGATCTCTAAGTCTCTGTATTCATCACTGGGCACTGACTTGTGCCTTTGTGCACATCCTGACACACAAAACCAGATCTATTTCCTATTTTCTTTTTAGAATTTGGAATTTTTGAATCATTTTAGAAACTAGATTATTAGGCTGATTTTGTGTTTTCTTCTGTGCACACACACACAATCAGTAGAACAGCTGAGCTAACAACAAAGAGCCTGGGTTGTGTTCTTATGCCATCACTACACCATAATTTTGATAATTCTATTTTTGATTTACCCCACTGAAAGCAGGTCCAAGCCCTGTATGTGCAGAACTGCACAGTTAATTCATTCCTTTCTCGTTCCAGTTATTAGCAGGATCAGCAACATAATTCCAAAACCACTGGCTGAGCATGGAAGGCAATTTTAGGCACCAGCAAATTATAACTGATAAAACATTCCTGTTTCTTCATGCCCTCTGTGGCTTGTTATTCTTTTGCTCACAGAAGCAGACAATGCAGGGTGAGGTTCTCTGGGCAAAATATTCCATTAAACCCTGTGGCAGAGTTCCTGCTGCATTTGCTGCCTCCCAGAGCACACTCATCCAAGCTGCTCCAGGGATTTGTTCCTGAGAAACTCCCTCTTGCACACAGTTCTTCCAGAAAGCAAAATATTTCAGTATGTCAGACTCTGCACAAAACCAGCTTCTCTTCCTCAGTCATCTCCCATCCCCACATCCCCAGACAACTGCCAGGAGGAAAACAGGAGCCAAGCTCCAAGAAGTGGGATGGGAAGTGCCAGCTTTGCTTTTCAGTGGGAAGAAACGTATGGAATTATCTGCTGTTAAAGAACAGGGATGCCCCAACCTCCTGATCCAGCACTAGAATTCACCTGCCCAAGGCAGGACCTTCAGCTCGACCTCCAGGCACTGGAGACCACGAAAAGCCTCTGGGGCCACTTTAAATGATCTAATTCCAGTAAAATCCCTGGATAAATCCCACTTCCATGGCCTGTCAGAGGCTCCACTGCTTCAATTCTTGCTGTGAAGAGCTGCTGCAAGAGGCAAAGGTGAGAAAAGCTCAGGTGGGAGATCCAGGAGGAAAAGGTGGAAGGGGAAGGAGTGTCTCGTGTTTCATCCCACACAGCAAGGAAATTGGGAGACCCAGAGGGAGGGAATGTTCTTAGAGGGAATTCAGGATGAGATGCTCAAGGTCACAGTGACTCAGACTGGAATCAGAGGATACAGGGAGAGGCTGCTCTGAGCACCAGCTCTTCCCACTACCTCCAAATGCTTTGGGGAAGCTCCAAATCCAGGAATTAGAGGCAATCCCTGTTATCTCACTGAGAAGTATCAAACCTTTGGCTTCCTCACACTGAACTGAGAGAATGGTGGGAGTGGAATTATCTCCCTCTCCTCCTTGGACTGTTTCAAGACAATGTTTTCATCCTTGCAGGAGCAGCCACTGCCTCCCTCCCTCCCTCCCTGCTGAATTCCCCTGGCTCAGAGCACAAGCCAAAACCAGACACTTCTTGTCCCAAGCTGCAGTGAAAGGTTGGCATCCAGAGCCCTGCCAGCCTCCCACACCAGAGCAATTAGAAGGGAGCTGGGCACAGGATCCCAAAGCTTGGGAAGGAGCAGCCCACGCGCCCATTGCTGAGATGTCTTTATTCACATTTTCCCCTCCTAATTAATGAGGCAGCAGATCTCTCTGGCCCTGCCCACACCTCGAGTGCAATCCTGCCCCGGTGCCAGCACCCACAGCGCTGTCAAACCAAGCTTCCACAAGTGTGTTTGGGAAAGAGCCAGGAAAGCACCCTGTTTGGAGCATAACCACTGCCTCCAGACCTGCAGCTGGGGGAAGTCCAGCAGAAAACTGCTCCAGAAGGGACAGGATTCTCCAGAAACGGGACTCAGAGCAGCTGGGAAGAAAGTCAGCACCTCACTGCACAGGCAGGGTTAGCAAACCCTGCTGATGGTCCCTGTCCATCCTCCTCAAACTCTTCTTCTCACCTCCCAAAAACAACCACGTCTCTGAAGGCCTCGTGCTCTCAGCCAGATTCTAGAATGTCTCCTCAATTATCAAATAACTATTTGGTTTTAGCTTTTACTTTGCCTAACACTGACACTGCAAATTCAGGTCCTATCTGCAACTGTCAGTACAAGTTTTAATCTTAAATTCAACAGCTGGCTTGTAACCATGGCCACGAGGGTGTGCTTGTCATTGTAACCTGATTGTAATTCAATTATATGGGTAATAGCTATTGGTCTGCTAATAAAACGTTATGGAAAGAATTTGAGCATCAGGATTGGCCCAGCTAACAAAATTATGACTTTTATTTGGGTTCTAAAAACTAAAACCAACGGCTTCTGTCTGCCTCTAACACTTTTCCACCTTTGAATGTTACTCTGGAATTAAATGAGGTGGGCACTGAAAAAAAGAGCAGATCATGGAATCATGGAATATGAGTTGGAAGGGACCCACAAGGAGCATCAGTCCTGCACAGACACCCCAACAACCCCCCCATGTGCTGAGGTGGTGCTATATCCATGTAATCCAAGCCTGAGAGGGGTTTCTGGGATGAGCCTTTCCCCACAGAGCCAGCCCTGGAGCTGCTCCACACCCAGAGTGGGGTTCTGGTTCAGCCTCTGATCCCTCCTCACCGACTGGAAATTCTGAAGCTCCACCAGGGTCTTCTTATCCACGGTGACCTGTCCCTTCAGTTTGCAGTGGAAAGCCTCCTCCACACGCCTGTGGGGTGAAACCTCCTCCAGGGAGAGCAGGAGTGGAGGCAGCTGGCTGGGATGGGCTGAGACAGCCAGGGCTGCTCGACGGTCGATGGCTTCTGAGGGTGAAAGAGAAGAACAAGAACAGGAAAGCAAAGAACCATAGAATCATAGCATCAACCAGGTTGGAAAAGACCTCTGAGATCATCCAGTCCAACCCTTGATCCAACCCCGCTGTGGTTCCCAGCCCATGGCACTGATGCCACATCCAGTCTCAGCTTAAAAACCTCCAGGGATGGAGAATCCACCCCTTCCCTGGGCAGCCCATTCCAATGGCTGAGCACCCTCTCTGCAAAGAAATTCTTCCTAATATCCCACCTAAACCTCCCCTGGCACAGCTTCAGACTGAGCCCTCTTGTCTTGCTGATGGTTGCCTGGGAGAAGAGACCAACCCTCCCCTGGCTCCCCCCTCCTGTCAGGGCGTTGTAGGTTTGGTTTCAAGGCCTGGCCTTTGAAGCCACCAGGGAACGTTTGCAGAGCCAGCTGTGGATTCGTCCAAAAGCAGCAGCTCCCAAAAAGCTCTCAGAGTCTTTACCTTTTAAGATCTCCTTAAACTCCTGCAGAAGGACTTCCCGGGTCACTTCAGCTCCAGGGGCTCCCGGAGGTCCCTGAGGCCCAGGAGGTCCCGGGGGCCCAACGAGGCCACGCTGAGGGAGCAACCAAAGCAAAACATGGGAATTAGAACCAGGGAATCACAGGGAGAGAGCAAAAATTCTCTCAGCCACGAGGCCCCCTCCAACACCAGTTCAAACACAGATCCTAAACTCCCTTTCCATCCAGCTGAGAATTCCAGCATTTGGAATTTACTCATGTGCTTCACATGAGAGGATAAACCTTGCTCAGGTGAACACTGACTGGTTCTTCAGGCACAAGGCTGAGTTTGCTGCCTCTGTGTCTTCTCAAACCACCAGAGCATCCTACAAGGCCTTTCAGCTTCTTATCTGAACTGGAATATCCCTCTTGCCATACCTGACATTATTAATTGCTCAGACATAACGATCACACCCAGGGGGGTTTGCTGGGACAGCAGAGCTCTCAGAATAAAATCCAACAGTTCAAACCCCTGTAAAGCTCAGCTACAAACACCTCAGAGCTTCAAACTAACAGAACAAATGTGCAGAGTTCATCAAGGCTATTTCTGGGGCACGTTGTTCCTGTTTCCTCAGGAGCCTGCATGGAAGCACTGCTGCCTATCAGCTCCCTGAGAAATAAAAGGAAAGCATCCAAAATTGTCTTAGCAGTGGATTAAAAGTGCCCATGTGACTAAGAGTCACTCAGATTTGAAATCAACTCCTTGTCCACACCTTATTAGTATATATCCTTTGAGATGCTTGAGCTGGTGGAAGGAAAAAAAAAATAAATGGCAGAGGACAATTTTTATTTCTGCTGAGCAGAAAAATAAGCAAAAAAAGGCTCAGTCCAAGAACAGCTGCTCCAAACAAAAGCGAGTGCTGCAGTGGAATTCCCACACCTTATCTCACGAGGCACTTGTTGGCTCAGACTTCTCCAAAACACTTGGAGGAATTAAACACAAACAAGTGGGAAAGTCAGCACACCCTGGGGTGGGAAGGCAAAGCTGGAGCACCCAAAACCCCCTGAGAAGGAGCAGCAGGAAGGGAAGGCACAGTGCAGGGCAGCAACAACCCACCAGTTTCTTGTCCTTCCCTTTGCATCTCCTCTTGGAGGCGTTCCCGTCGTCCGGGCGGTGCACGAAGGAGATCCAGGTGCGCCGGGGGTCTGTGATCCGGGGGTCTGCAGACTCCAGGACCTGAAAACAAACAACAGCAAAGCCTGAAACCACTGTCTGGCCACTCCACGGGGTCAGAGAACATGAGCCAGAGTGTGCCCAGGTGGCCAAGAAGGCCAATGGATCCTGGCCTGGCTCAGGAACAGGGTGGCCAACAGGGCCAGGGAAGTGATTCTGCCCCTGGACTCAGCGCTGGGGAGGCCACCCCTGGAGTGCTGTGTCCAGTTCTGGGCCCTCAGCTCAGGAAGGACATGGAGGGGCTGGAGCAGGTCCAGAGAAGAGCAACAAGGCTGGGGAAGGGACTGGAGCACAAGTGCTGTGAGGAGAGGCTGAGGGAGCTGGGGCTGTTCAGCCTGGAGAAGAGGAGGCTCAGGGGAGACCTCCTCACTCTCTGCAACTCCCTGACAGGAGGGGGGAGCCGGGGGGGGGGTTGGTCTCTTTTCCCAGACAACCATCAGCAAGACAAGAGGGCTGGGTCTTCAGCTGTGCCAGGGGAGGTTTAGGTTGGATATTGGGAAGAATTTCTTTGCAGAGAGGGTGCTCAGCCATTGGAATGGGCTGCCCAGGGAAGGGGTGGATTCTCCATCCCTGGAGGTTTTTAAGCTGAGACTGGATGTGGCATCAGTGCCATGGGCTGGGAACCACGGCGGGATTGGATCAAGGGTTGGACTTGATGATCTCAGAGGTCCCTTCCAACCCAGCTGATTCTGTGATTCTGTGACCAGACTGCTGCCTGCTGCCTAAAGCACATCCCCAGCCCAAACGTGCACAGAGAGGGTGCTTGAGAAACCAGTACAAGCCAAGAGCTCTGAATGTCCCTCAGAGACCTTTCTCAAGCTGCTGGGACTCTCAAACCACTCTCTGGGACTCTCAAACTACTCTCATACCACAGCAAACCTGCCCAGATGCCAGAGATTGTTCCCCACTGGTATCAGTTGGCTCAAAGGAGCAATAAAGGGGATTAAAAACATCCAGAGAGCCTCGAAATGCTGCCTGACTCTCAAATCACAGGCTGCAGAGTGACAAACGTGCATAGAGGAGAAACCACAACTCCCAGTGAAACCCAGAGTCCAAAACACAACTCCCAGTGAAACCCAGAGTCTGTCTGACCACAGAAAAGATGTTTATGGGCAAATTTAACTCCCTATGTCCCATAAGTGGACAGAGAAGTTCTGCAGAGGAGCTTTGGCACTGCAGTGCCTGGTTTTGGATCCCTGCTGAACCAACTTGGGGCACAAGGGATGTTATTGAGGGGATGAAGCTCCTACAGGTCTGACAGCAGCTCTGCCACAGCTCAGACACCAAACTCTGCCCTCAGTGCCCTGAGTGACCTTGCAAGGTGCTCCCAGTGCATGTTTGCTCATCACCTGTCCCATTTTTGCTCCCTAAATGCCACTTCTCAGAGAAACAGCTTGACTTTTAATCACATTTCTAGTCCCACTTATAAGAACAGACTCGCTTCCATCACATAGCAGGAAAAAAAAGCACCCTTTAGAATGTTAGAATGCAGGTCAGGTCCCAAAACCAGCCACACACCCCCCTGAGAGCAGCAGGGATTGGACAGAGGGTTGCAAATTTTAACTGGGAATAACAGGGCAAGCCCATTTTGAGGGGGAAAAGACCAGAGTCTCCGTGTGATCTGCTGTGAAAAACCAGCAGCTCCCCAGAAATCAGGTGTGAGATGAGCAAGAGCAGTTGTTAAACATCTCAAATTCTGTTAAACAACTCCCTCAATTCCATAAAATCAAGGACACCCTGAGACATTTCCCCATTTTCATTCTGGTTGAATTAATCAGGGTCATGGTTATCCACACTCCCCACAAATTTAGTCTGTAGCAAAACCAAGAGCAAGACAGTTTAGTTCATTATTTCTCTCCCAAAATCAGGCTTGAACAGACTTTTTACTACTATAACCACATTTCTAGTCAGCCACAAACTGTGTTCAGCCAAGGGCTTCTGGTAGGTTGCTGTAGCTAATTTATTTTTTGCCCCTTTTAATTACTTGAAGCTTCAATAGCTTTCTGAAATTCCATCACTGGGAAGTGCTGTACATGGAGCAGCCCAGAAATCCCAGGGACTGGGGGATCAGACACCTCACTGAAACAATTTCATCTGTCCACGGGTTGCTTGAGTGGAGATTTTTGGGAAGCAGGAGAAAAGAGTCAAAGGCACTCCAAAGAGAGTCCTTTGGTGCAGGTTTAGCCACTGAAATATGTAAACATCAAAGCCAGAGGCAAATGTCCCCATAGTTTACAGAAGTCCTTGGAACAGCACAGGAGGTGCAGTTTATCCTAGAGCAGCATGGGATATATTTATCAGTTGCATGGAAAATCAATGGGAAAAGTTGGTTCTTTCCTGCCCCACCTCACCTGAAAAACACAGGGGTGCAGCATCACCACCTGCAGAGGACTTTTATTAATATTTCAGTTGATAAGAGCTCATAAAGGCAGGTTAAAAACTTCCTGCAGGTGCCTTTTTGGGGGACTGACAGTGTGCGGGGAAGGTGTAGGAAGGAAACAAGAAGGAAACAAGTTATGAACAGAAGCACCTGGCTCAGGCAGGGTGTTCCCTCAGTGCTGTGACAGCAGAGAAAATGGAAATAAAATCACTTCATCCTTCAGAAAGGGTTGTTCCTGGGGCAGGGACTCGGGGGTGCAACCTCCAGCTCAGAGCAAACAGGACAGAGCCTCAGCAACCGGGATGTGGAGGAGAATATTCAAATATTCCTGATTTCCACAGGGCTGCAGGACAGGGACAGACTCCCCTCCAGTGCAGAACTCAGGGAACAGGCCAGTTGGAAGCAGAAGCAACAACCAAGGGCAGGCTCTGGGAAGGCAAACAGATGTTCCTGGAGCTCCAGCTGGGAAGGAACAGGCCAGAGCAGACACCTTGTCAGGGAGAAGACAAAAAAAAAGACATCCAGATGGCACATCCCAGAAAAAATAAATAAAAAACCCCCCTGAAGTATATATATAAAAAGAAAAAAAAACAGTAAAAAAAATAAAATAAAAAATCCCATCCCTCTGCAGTGGGTTGGTTAAATCACAAATCCTTCCACAAGACACTCGTGGCACATCCCAGAAAAAAAAAATAAATAAAAAACCCCTGAAATATATATATAGAAAAAGAAAAAAAACAGTGAAAAATAAAAAATCTCATCCCTCTGCAGTGGGTTGGTTAAATCACAAATCCCTCCACAAGACACTCGTGGCACATCCCAGAAAAAAAAATAAATAAAAAAAACCCCTGAGGTATATATAAAAAAATAAAAAAACAGTAAAAAAAAAATTAAATCCCATCCTTTTGCAGTGGGTTGGTTAAATCACAAATCCCTCCACAAGACACTCGTGGCACTCCCCAGTTTCTCCAGCCCAGGGCTGATTGACAGTTAAAATGAACGTTCCATGCTCGTGGTATTATTATTTAATTACTATGGCATGCAGGAGCAATCCCAGCAATAAGCAGGCAAGCCTCTGTTTTTTTTGGCAGAGGGAGCCTCCAGCAGCCAAGAGAGACCTCGCAGCCAACTCAGGTATCCAAGGGGATGGGGAACAGCCCTGGAATCCCAGAGGGGATTTGTCCCTCCTTGGGATGGTGTTTGCAGGGCAAAGACACCCTGCAGGGATGGGGAACAGCCCCAGAATCCCAGAGGGGATTTGTCCCTCCTTGGAGGGGTGTTTGCAGGGCAAAGACACCCTGCAGGAGTCAGGAGGAATCCTCGGGGTAAATCCAGGGAAATCTCCTTAAAACAGCCCCTCCAAACCCCACAGGAGCCTTGCCAGGGATTGTTGAGGAACTTTCAATCAGGTCTTTAAGCAGGACTTTAAGTCTGAACACAATGGCACCTTTCACTCCATGCCAGAGGGTGACACTGGAATTAGCCCAGGCTCTCCCTGATTTCCTTCCCAATGAGACAATTTGGGCTGGAATTTGGGTGCTGGATCTCTCTGGCTCCAGCCCCTCAGGGACACTCAAGGTTCAGCCACAGGGAAGAAACCACCGGTCCAAATCCACACTCAAAGAGCAGAGTTTGGGTCCTGAGAGGTTTCTGAACTGCATCTGGACTTCCCTGACGTTCCAGGATGTCGGGATCCAGTCCAAAAAAGACAACTGGAAACGGGCAAAAGTCCTTCCAGGGTCTGGGTGGAGAGAAGAACAAAGTCAACACCACCTGTGAGCACAGTTTTACACCTAAAACCTGTGTTCTCAGAGTGGCTCAGGATGGAAAGAAAGCACGAGAACTTATAATTTTGTGAGAGGAAAGCATCCTTTCCACCTGTAACTAGTCTATCCAAGAACACACTCCAGACCATTCCAGTCCACAGCCCGTGCCTGAAGTGATTGCCCTGCAATTCTGCTCACTTATCTGGGAATTTGTCCCTCTGGGAGGAAATTGTATTTAAGAACCCTTTGTTTCGTTTTAATTTAATTTCCAGGCACAAAATGGACTTGAGTGAGCATTTCAGTTTTCTCAATCCATGTATTTCTATGTTGTTCCCCCTGATTTACACCAGCCAGGGTATTGCCTGCTTCATTATGAAAATGAAGAATGAATAATTCATTTCAGTAGTGTGTTTTACTTGGACCAGGACACAGAGTGACAGAGCACTCTTATTTTAGCCTGAAAACCCCCCGTGTCAGCTGCTAATAACTTACAGCTCTGCACACTCCTGCTTATTAATGAGATGTAAACCCAAGGTCCTGACCACTTGTGGTTTTTCAAAGATCCCTCAAGAATTCTCCCCCAGAGCAGAAGCGTTAGGTTTGCTATCTCAGCCAAATCCAAGAGGGAATTCCTACCGAAATTCCCACTGTGTCCTGTGATTAAAAAATTACACTTCAACCACAAACAGGCTGCAGTGGTCACACCCTTAATGAGTTTAACGACTCTCCTGGAGCAGGGTCATTCTGGGTGAGAAAACATCACGTTTCTCGTTATTTATTATCATTATTTTCACGTGGGCCATGAGGAATTGTTGTGATTCTGTGTGTTCTTTGTTCAGAAAATTCCCAAAACTTCACTTGTAATATTCCAGAGTAAGACACGAATGTCAGACAGAAAACCAAAGAGAGCAACACCTGTTACAGGGAGGTCACAGCCCAGTTTCTCCCCTGGTTTTAGCACTTGTCAGGCCCCAAAATGCTTTTCTCTCTGTTCCACCTGCAGTCACACCCTGCAGGCTCAGACTGTACAGAGGAGAAACTGGTCCAGGTAATGCCATAGAAGCAGCTCCTGCTTTCAACTGGGAGCAAAAGACCCCCCAAGAAATAACTCAGGGAGATTTAAGTAGTAAAGCAGGTAGAGCAAAGCCTTGGTGTCTGCCAGAGCCAGGATTCCAGCTGGAAGGGACATCCAGGGGTTGTCTAGGTCATATCCATACAAATATCTCCAAGGGGGGTCAAGAGGATGGTGCCAAACTCTGCTCAGAGACAGGACGAGGAGCAAAGGCCAGAAACTGGAACACAACAAGTTCCACCTCAACAGGAGGCAGAACTGCTTTCCAGGAGGGTGGCAGAGCCTGGAACAGCCCTGGAACAGCCCTGGAACAGCCCTGGAACAGCTCTGGAACAGCCTGGAACAGCCCTGGAACAGCTCTGGAACAGCCAGGGAGGGCTTGGAGTCTCCCTCTCTGGGGACATTCCAAAGCCACCTGAACACGTCGTTGTGTGTCCCCTGCTCCAGGTGACCCTGCCTGGGTTGGACTGGATGAGCTCCAGAGGTCCCTTCCAAGCCAAACCACTCTGGGATTCTGGGATCCAACCCCCCCTCCCTGCTCTAAAGCCCCATGTGCAGGCAGGGGAAGGCAAGTCTGGCAAGTGGCAGCTGCTGGTGCTCCACCAAACCCAGTCCCAGGGAGAAGATCCAGGAGATCCAAACCTCTGCATCCCTCCCTCATGTTCTGCTCCCTCTCTCTCTCTCTCTCTGTCTCTCTTAGTCCATCTGTGTCAGAGAAGAAAACCCTCATGTGCTTGGCAAGCACATCACACTGTCAGCAGCTCAAAGATAAGACTGCAGAAAACCTATTTAAAAAAAAAAACAAACAACAAAATAAAAATAAAACCCCAACAGACTCACTATTTCCACGGAAATATTGGGTTTATCAGATGTGAGGCTTCTGCCTCCCTGTTTTAGTAGAGGTTTCACCACATGACTCATGGACTGTGAATGTTAAAGGGGAGCTTTCTCCACTCCTGTTTTAAAAGAATTCCCAAGAGAGTTTTGTCCCAAACTGTTTGGCTTAATTAGAAGGAAAACACATCTACCTTTTCAACAGTAGGAATAAAAATCACTGCTCCCAGCTCATAATTCATTCCCTGCTCTGATAAACCTACCAGTTGGCCACAGAGTCTTCCAAGGTAAACACAGCCTTAATTTTTACTGCTCAAGGCCACAAAAATTCCATCTTTCCTGTTATGTGCTGCAGAGGATTAAATGGGACACTGCTGCTGCTTCATTTTCCTGTGCAGGGCATCCCCTCATGAAACAAAACTGCTCTCAGAGGCTTCAAGGCTCCAAAAGGTCTGTTTTCCACAGAGAACAACCTCACATTAGGTAAGGACACCTTAACTATTATTTTACTTCTTCCCCTAGTGAATATAAATGGTGATGGTTTGGTGAAAAAGGGGCTTTTCCCCCAGAAATGGTGGCAATTCTTAAGCATTTACAGCCTGTGTAAAACCCTCCCAGAGCCTGGGCAGGTGCCACATAAACATAAAATCCAAAAATACACCGTTTAAAAAGCGACACTTAACCATCCTGGACTTCAACTCAAAACAGATTCCAAGGAGAAAAGTTCAGACCCTCTGCAAAAATCTGGGGAGTGATTGACATCAAAGGTTTGGTTTTGTCCCATCCTTCCTGAGCAGAACCTGCCCGAGCTGAACTCGCCAGCTCGTCCTGCAGCCAAACCTTTGCCATGGATATTTTAAAGCAAAGCATTTCGACACACAAACTTGCAGCTTCCAAACAATGTCTGCTTTAATGAATGCCCACGAGCCTCTGTGTGTTTTTTTTCCCCAGCCCCAGTGGATGTGTGACTGCATCAGAATTAACCAGGACCAGTTCCTGCTTGTTTTTTTGCAATCAGGATGGATCCTGCTCGTGGTCCAATTCACTTCACATCAAGGCAAATTAACTCCAGAATAAACGGTTGCACCGGATCTGTCCGTGGCCCCTCTGCAAGGGCAGAGAATGAAGCAGTTGTGGGGAGAGCCAGAAGTGATGGATTAAAAGCACCTCGAGAATTCAGCCCGTGCACAACCTGTGCTGGCAGAGCCCCGCGACACACAGGCACAAAGAGGAGCTGCAGGAAGGCAGCTCACGCCCCCGAGGACAATTCTGAGGGCACAGCCAGCTTTTAGATGCAGGACTATTCCCCAGACCTGCCCAACCTTAACCAATTACTCTCACAACAGCCCGGAGTGGGATATTTGGGATGTCAGCCCAATTGTTCCCCCTCGGCCATGCCCCAGTTGCTGGCAGGTCTGTTCCCCCATTGCTATAGTGACTGCCAGCCCTAATGCTGCTGATCAAAGTCGTGCTGGAGAGGTCACTCTGTCCTGACAAGGGACATTTTTGTGTGAGCAGGGGAGGGGGAGAGAGCCTGTGGCCAAGGGGAGACTCCCTTCCTGCTCCCTCTTCCAGTCTCCCTTCCCTTCATCCTGCTCCTGCTCCTAAAACCTGCTCTTCATTCTCTGCTATTCCCAAGCATTCTTCCCGAGCATTCTATGCAAATATTCATCCTAAAGGATTCTGGGGGCTCTGAGCAACCGAGTGGAAGTTTTTTGGGTGATTCTCCCAAACATTTAACATTTAACCCTGCCAAATTCACTCACCAGCTACAGCCACAGAGGTACCACACACACACACACACACACACACAGGGGCTTCACTTCCCATTTACACACAACTAAAAACCATCCTGAACCCTTTCCTAGAGCCACAACCACCCTAAACACATCACCTGACCACACCCCAAACCTTCTCAACTCCGATTTTCGGCCACATTCTCCTGCCCACAGAAAGCTCTGGCACTCTGAGATGTTTATAACGTTGTATTTGCTAAAGAAGGGTTTGAAATAACATTTCAGAGAGTTAAGACTTTGCCTGCAAGAGGCACATTAAAATCCCAGCATCATTCCTGTGATAGCCCACTTGCTTTGATTTTAAGTTGTTGCTGATGCTGTTCATACATCAGAACTTTAAAACATCTTTACCCTTAATCAGCTACAAGGGGACTGGAACTTCAGTCCTGGGTGTTCCAAAACAACCATAAATTGGAGTATTCCAGTGTTTGCTCCAGCAAAGCCAGAAAATCAGTCATGCAAAGGCAAAAGAGGGAACATTTCTCTCCTTAAAAATCAAGCAGCATTTTAGCAAGATTGCCTGAAATCATTGGAAAAAGGAAGCAGCACCACTCTGCTGCCAAGACACAAACACCCACCTTGGGATGCCCGTGCAGCTCCTCACTGTTGGACAGGGTGGTGTTGAAGGGCTCTGTGTACTGATTAGGTTCTTTCTTCACCTTCCTCTCTCTCTTTGCTGCTGAAACCCTGAAGAGGCAAAACTGCTGACACAGTAAAGTTGCCACAAACACCCAGGTGCACCCCTTCATTTTGGAAAGGGAGGGAGGGGCCAAGTCCAAGCACAAAAAAAAAAAAAAAAACCTTCACCACCAATAAAGGAACAGAGTCCTCTCTCCAAAAATAAAAAGTAGCAGGGTCAGAAGTGCTAAAGAAGATCCTCTGGGCTGTGCAATGTCAGATAGGCAGCGAGATGGATGTGCTGGTTGCTGAGAGGTCTCTGCTCAAGCAGGACACATGGAAATGGTACAGATCAACTTGTTTAAAATCTGGATTCACTCGGAGAAGGAGGTAAGTCCATTCAGCCTCTGGGAGCTTTACATAAATACAAGAGGCCCTGAAAAGTCCTGCCACCCACCTTGAAGGGTTGCTCTCTCCTCTACCCCCCTCAAATAAGTCTTCAGACTTGTTTTAAATGCACTCAGCTATGAGAAGTCAAACTGCTCTGGGCAACAGTTGCTCAGGCCAGAGCTGACAACACGAACTCATCAGGGGGGCTCTGGTTGTTCCTCTTCACCAGGAGGGTTCACTTGCTGTCATTTGAAGCCTCGTGTTGGGTTCAGAGCAGGTTTGGATGCGTTCCATCCGTTCCCTCTGGGCTGATCCTTCCCCCTTTCCTCAGTGACAAGTCCTCATCCTTCCCTTCCAGGATGCTGGGGAACTGTAATCCAAGGGTGCTACAGCCAGTGCTCCTCTGGAGGGGCTGGAAGCATCACAGCCTTGTCGGGGGAAGAGAGACTTCTCACACCATTAAACTTAAAACGAGGAGAAACAAAGAATCCGAGGGCGTCCCCAGCTCCTCCGGGAACAGGGAGAGTTTCCCCAAGTGTGGTTTGTCTCCCTCTTTAGCTGAGGGAGCTTTCCCTTTTCTCTGAGGATGAGCAGCAGTTGTCAGGGTGCAGAACCTCGTGGCTTTTGCATCCTCGTCTCCCCTCACACCGGGCAGGATTTCAGGTACCTCGGAGGGTCTGATTTTTCCTGCTGCTCCTTTCCCCAGCTGCACGTTGGCAAAACCCTCCTCAGCTCCTGCCTTACCTCGGCAGAGAAGTCCTTCTTTCCCGAAGGAGTTTCCATCAACTTCAAGAAAAGCAAAAGAAAAAAAGAAAAGGGAAGAAAAAAAAAAAAAAAAGAGGAGGGATCACATTCTAATGAGCTGTCAAGCCTATTCTCTTCACATTCCTATTAGACTCCCTGATAAGTGGAGCTGGCCCGTGTGCCAGGCAGATTTAAATCAGTGCCCATTCCCTGCTCCCTCCCCTCAGCCCTGCTCTGTCCCTCCCCTTCATTATCTCGGAGAAATCACCATTTTTCTGGGAAGTTTGTAAAGCTGCACGGGGGAACGGGTGGTAGAGCTAAAAAATATGTGGCTTGGAATAAGCACTCGGCCTCACACACGAGGATAATCAGAATGCTGCCTGATTTCCCAGGCTCTTCCCTATTTTCCCTCAGCTCCCATCAGAGGGTGGCTCCAGGGGGGGCTGATTTCTTTACAGGGTGGGCTGTTTGTTAAAAATCCCAGAAACCCAGAGGTTCTCTGTGTCCTACCAGCACTTCAGGAGGGGATCTTGATGCACTTGGACACTGCAAATCTCTACCAGTTCCCCACCACCCAGAACAAATATTCCTGTTCTTCCCACAAAGATTTTTCAGCTGCAAAGATTTCCCTGAGGCTGCGCCGTGAGGAAGTCCAGGAATGATAAAAGGTTGAAGATCACATCATTTGAAGTCCTTTATGCAGCCAGCAAGGGAGAGATTTGCTTTATTTTGGCAATTCCTTCACCAGAACTTCTGTAATCCAACTGTCAGCACAGATCTTCCTTGGATTTTGCAGCCAGGGTGGATCAGGAGCAAAGCTCAGGGAAACTGAGGCACAAACACATTTTTTTTGAGCTGCTTTATTTTGGCAATTCCTTCACCAGAACTTCTGTAATCCAGCTGTCAGCACAGATCTTCCTTGGGTGGATCAGGAGCAGAGCTCAGGGAAACTGAGGCACAAACAACCTGAGCTGCAAAAAAAAAAAAATCGAGAGGTGGAATAAAGATTGGTGGGTCAGAAGCAAAGTTCTGTTAATATGGTTTGTGGAAACTGAGGCACAAACAACCTGAGCTGCAAAAATCGACAAGCAGAGCACAGATTTTTAATTTTTTTACAGCATCTTCGGGGAGAAATGGAGTTTAGGAAAGAGAACAAAGTAAGAAGGGCACTTACCCAGCAGCTCAAGAGTTAACAGCACATCACCCCTCCCCCAGCCAGCTCACATTCCATCAAAACTACGTGGCAGACTTTATTTGTTAATAATATTTAACTTTCTTTGGCGCCTTCTCATACTTAAGCCTCTTTTTTTTTTTCAGGTTAGTTGTAGACAAGCCATGAATTTGTAAAAGTGCACTTGATGACACATTAATAGGACAATCTGTCATAGCCCAGCTAAACAGCCTGACAGCTCCACACACCACGGCGGGCAGGGACAGCCAGGGCTGGGCTGGGCTTGGCTGGGCTGGGCTTGGCTGGGCTCTGCCTAAAGCCCCTTCCCCAGCCTGGCAGCAGCTCCTGGGACTGGGGGGAAACCAATCCCAGCTAATCCAAGGCCAAGGCGTTGCTGGTTTGGGCTGTAAACTTGGGACAGTGGTGGGACAGTGACATGGTGGCACACACAGGGGTGGCTCTGGGCAGCCAGGAGGCTCTGAGGGTCTTGGGGACATTGGTGACATCGGGGTGACACCCACAGGGAGCCCTGGGGGACCCACACAGAGCTCTGAGAAGGTGGTGACACAGGGACAGTGATGGGACAGGGACATGGTGGGAGGTGGTGGCACCTGGAGAGGTATCTCTGGGCAGCCAGGAGGGTCTGGGGACATTGGGGACATCGTGGTGACATCACAGGGACACCCACAGGGAGCCCTGTCTGAGCCCCACAGAGCCCTCGGGACGTGGTGACACGGGGACAGTGATGGGACTGTGCCATGGTGGCACCTCCAGGGGTAGCCAGGAGGGTCTGGGGACATTGGGGACATCACGGGGACATCGTGGAGGCACTGAGAACACTCACAGAGCCCTGAGAACGTGGTGACACGGGGACAGTGATGTGACAGTGACATGGTGGCACATCCAGGGGTAGCCAGGAGGGTCTGGGGGCCTTGGGGACTGTGTTATAAACTTCCCAAAACATCCTTTTCCCACCTTTGGGTTCAAACAAGTGCTGGCACAGCTGGTGCCTCCCCTGCAATCCCAAATTTCCAACTGCCCACCTTGGAGTTCCCATCCCAGCTGCAGCAGCTCCCAGGTCTCGCCGCTGCCTCCGCAACGTCCAACCCCTGTTTGCAGAAAAAAAAGAAACAAAGGAAAATTAAGGATATAAAGTCTCAGGTGGCACTTTCACAGCACAGCAACTCAAAGATCTTGGAATAATGGGAAGGAACTCTGCAACTCCCTGACAGGAGGTTGTAGCCAGGTGGGATCAGGCTCTTCTCCCAGGTGACAAGTGATGGGATGAGAGGAAATGGCCTCAGGGGAGGTTTAGATGGATATCAGGGAAATTTTTTTTCATGGAAAAGGGTTGTCAAGCTTTGGAACGGGAATCACCATGCCTGGAAATGTTCAAGAACCTTGTGGATGTGGCCCGTGGGGATGTGGATTAGTGGTGACCACGGTGGTGCTGCGTTGACAGCTGGGCTTGATGGTCTTAAAGGTCTTTTCCAACCTTAATGATTCCATGGAAGGCAAACAGTTCCTCCCTGGAGCTCAGCACCACTGAGGCACTACCGGGGATGGTTGAGAACAGAACAACATCAATCCTGCACGAGGGAAGTTTGGAAGCAGGGAAAATGTTGTAAGAAGCCACGTTAAGGATTCCAAACTGTGCAAGCACCCAAAGAGAGTGTTTGCAAACCCCCTAAGTGTGAACAGAGCCAGGGAGGGAACCCAAGGGTCGGGCAAGGAACTTGTGATCCCATCTTTCAATCTCCACTTCTGCGGTTTTACTCCAGATAGGCCTCACCTGACTGTGCCAGGAATAATATCCAAAGGGCAAAAGTTGGGATTCCCCCACTTATCTGTTGCAGATATAGGGAACAACTCCTAAGCCTTGGCACAGAGATGGGGATTTTTGAAGCCAGTACAATGGCTGACACTCCCCCCCCCCCCATTCCTGCTTCATCCCAGCTAAAGGGCTGGAGCAGGGAAGGAATCCTGCCCTGGGAGGGTGGGGAGGCCCTGGCATGGGTTGCCCAGAGAAGCTGTGGCTGCCCCTGGATCCCTGGAAGTGTCCAAGGCCAGGTTGGAGAATCTGGGATAGTAGAAGGTGTCCCTGGGTGGAACTGGATGATCTTTAAGGTCCTTCCCACCCAAACCACTCTGGGATTCTGTGCCAATCCAACACAAGCTCAGGCTGTTGGTTGATGTACACAGGCCCCAAGGCTGCCAGAGCTCCAGGAGGGTTTGGACAACGCCCCCAGGGACAGGGTGGGATTGTTGGGGTGTCCTGGGCAGGGCCAGGGGTTGGACTGATGATCCTCGTGGGTCCCTTCCAGCTCAGGATATTCCCCGATTCCTGAAGCCGTTCGAACAAACCTGAACACACCAACGAACAAAAGAGCAGCTTTGGGAAGACTCACCCGGGGTTTAGGGTCGCTCCGGTCGGAGCTGCAGTGCCCGCATCCCACATTCCAGAGCCTCTCCGTGCCCGCATTCCCGGCCCGCGGGATCCCGACCCGGGATCGCTTCGCCATCTGCTGGCAAATCCATGGAAACGCCGAGACACCTGGGAAAAGGGCAAAAAATCCCCTCTCTGCTCCTCCAAAGGTTTCTCTCGGAGTGACCAGGTGGGAAATAAACCCGTTGAGGCAAAGCTTTTCCTGCCGATAAAAGTTCCCAATAAACCCTCACGAACCATCCCTTTTCCTTGCCCAGAAAACCTTTTCAATGACACGCTTTGAGTTCCTTCTCCACAGATTCCCTTCTGTACGATCTTTCCACTGCAAACATGATTTTCCTGCTTTCCTTTTGCAAAGGAAGGATCAGCTTGTTCACTGTTTGCCTCCCCGAGTTACAAAATAAGCCACTAATACCCAAAATTATTCAGAGTGAAAAAACACCTTGAGAAGCACAAGGCTTAAGGGAATAATTGTAATTTGTACTTACAAATTTCGCCATTCCAGTTTCCTCCCAGTGATTCCTTTCCCAAAAAAGAGTCCCACAGAAAGCCTCTGTTTTCTCATGAATGTTTATTATGAACAAACATTACAATGCAGTCATTCCCACTCCTCAGTACATGCTCGTAGCAAGGGAACACTTCCATGACCTTGAAACCTCGGGGGGGAGGAAGGTGATGACTACACGAAACTCCAGAATTTAAAATAAAATAAAATAAAATAAAATCAGAGATCTTTCAAGATGTCGTGTAATTCCAGCTGCAAAAGCTCCCTATCACCAATTCCTAACAGCTTTACAGAATAAATCTAGGGAATTGCAGCGTGAAAGTCGAGGGCCAGACATTTATTCCAAGATCATATAATGAAGGAGAGCTTTTAATTTGATTCCAGCAAGTAATGAACTGCTCAGGGCATGGGAATATTTCTGCCTGGGCTCCTCCATCCAATGACTTGGGTAACAAAAAGATCAGACACTGCATTGTTAGAAATTCTTAAAAAAACCCCACAAATCAGTAAAACCTACACAAAGGGGGATAAATCTTGTGGTACCAAAGGCAAGGAGACGTAAAAATGTTCCAAGGGGTTTAAGGATTGCTCCCAGCTTCCAACAAATGGCACCTGGAATGGCTGGCAAGTCTTCCTCCAAATGCAGGGTACTCAAGAGAAAAACTGCAATTGTGGAAGTTTTGGGTTTTCAAACACAACCAATCCTCAGGGGGGGGAAAAAAATGCAGCATGTCCAGGGTTTGACCAAAGGGGGTTTTGTTTCTGCAAACAAGAGACCCACCTTCAGGTGCTCAGGTGCAGCTCAAGGCCAACTTCTTGCCATGGAATAAAAAGCCTTTTCTTCACCATCTCTGGCTGTTTTTCTCTGAGCTTGGAGAGGCCACAGAAGGTGCAAACACACCCCACCCGAGGTCTCCTTGCCTTTGTCTTGGGTTTTGTGGAGGAAGAACTTCCAGGAGAGAAGATAAACACGGATAACCAACAGAAGGTGCTGTCTGGCAATGGCAGGAAAAGGCATGGCAAGGACACAAAGAGGTTTGAGAGGTGCAACCTCCTTCTGCCTGGAGAAAAAAAAACACGAGCCATCCCGAAAATCCCAGCCCTGCAGGAAAGCCATGGCACTCTCCTCCTTCCCAGCACACTCCCAGACCCACATGACTTGTCTCTAGGATTAAGCACATACGAGAGGTAAATGAAAAAAATAGTTATAAATAAGATTTGGTAAAACCATAAAATAATAATAATAATAATAAAAAACTATAATCAAAGATTTTATAAATACACTTAAAATCCAGCCTTTTCCAAATCCCATCCTCACACACCCTGACTCCTTCCCTTCCTCACATCAGGAAGAACTGCTTTAAGATTTCTTCAGCAAAGAGCTGTTCTGCTGATTTTGGTAATTCCTACCTATTGCAGAGAATTGGTCACATTTATTGGTGCTCTGAGCTGTTGGCTCATGGGTTGACAGGACATTTTTGCTTATAATTCAAGATACCAAGAAGCTGAGAGAGACAGAGAGTGAAAATCTGAAAGGGGAAATAAGACAGTTTCAAAACATTCTTAGACACATGAGGTAATTATTTATTTGGGCTCTTCAGAATAATTAAAATAAGACTATACAGTAAGTGCAGAGCTTTTATCCCTGCTACCACCTTGGACAGTTGTAGCATTGACAGTGTGTCAATTCTGAAAGGCACAGCAAGTTTGCCTCTGCTGAAACAAAGCTTTTGGGTAAAATGGTAAAATTCAAGCAGGAGGGAGAAAAATCAAGCAAACTCAATTTAAAAAAAAAAAAAACACAGGTAATTTCAGACAGACTTTTGAACTTCAGTGTTTACTCACAGTGCTGGAAGCCTGTGAACAAACAGCAATATTTCATTGATCAGTCACCTGAAGGGGAACAGTGATGAACTCACAGCTAAAAGCTTCCGCAATCCCAGGTGAATTTTGGGTTTGGCTTTTGGTGGTGGTAGTTTGTTTGTTTTTTTTCAAATAGTGAACAGTGGAACTAATTTGAAGGGTTAATTCAGGCAGTGACACTTGAGATGGATTATCAGCTGGCTCTGAGGAAGCTGGTTTGTCACTGAGACTCCTTTGCCTTTTTCCCTTCCCAAGGGCTGGGGCTGCCTCAATCCCCACAGCCTGAGGAATGCAGAGATTTTGGAACACACACTCAACTCTCTCCATTGGTGGCTGCAGTTTTATTATCATTTCACCAGTGGCCCCTTGTGATCAGAAGGAATTATTACAACTTTCCAAAAGAACATCTCCCAGAATGAAAATCTGTAAGTGAACAAATCCCAAACAACCCTGGAGATGGGTATTCCCACTAGAGGCTGATTCCAAGGCTTTTTTTCTTGCTAAGGGCCAACAACTGCACTTCTTGTAGCCCAAATAAAACCTTCAATGACACTGTGACAATTTAGACAACACATTTAACACACTGTGGTGTTATGTTCCCACTCATCTAATCACTACTGACTAGATATGCAATGATGGTCATTCTAGTTGGAAAAAAAAAAGAAACCAGCAATTTTCTGTAGCATCAAATGCTCACATTAACCAAACCCTTCCCAAGTCCACGTGGAACCCCTACTTGGATCACTGAACACCTGAACAGACTCTTCCCTACCAAAAATAAAATGATATGCAGAGAATGGCAGAGTTTTAAAAATTGTACAGTGAAGTAAAAAGCCTTATTTGCTCGAGATTTTCAAATTTCCAACGACAGATGGAGGACTGCTATAAAAAAAAAATCAAAGCACTAGAAATGTAGTGTCTCATCAATAATGCTTTGACTTGTGAGAAACTACCAGAAGAGCAGCAAAAGTTTCTGCCTAACCCAAACTAACTCCAACTCCCCACGAGCCACGAGATTTCTCCCAGCTGCCCCAAAAAAAAAAAAAAAAAAAAAAAAAAAAAAAGAGTCCCACCACTCGTTCTGCGAAACTACCACTAGAATTTTGGTCTTGGGGTTTTTTTTATTTTGCTCTCCTCCTCCTCACTCCTGGGCTATGCTCCTCAGGACATACTTCACTGTGTAGGCAAAGGCTGCGAAGCCCACGATGACAAACAAGTTCGCCAGAGCTCCGCCCAGGAGTCCGTGGTTGCGGTTGGGCTGCTGCAGCCCGGGGGGGTTGGCAGGGCCCAGGGGCACGTGCCCGTTGAGGAGGGGGAGCCCGTTCTGACCGTAGTGAGCGTCCCCGTCGGGCACCACGTCGGGCAGAGGCAGGGAGGGAGGTCTGTTGTTGAGCTCTTCTTGTGCTTTCTGTTTTTGTTTGATCTCCTGGAGAGGGAGAAAGGAAAAAAAAAAAAAAAAGAGAGAGAGACCTGAGGGGTTGGAAGCGAAAGTTGGTAGAGCTTTGGGTGCTTTGAAAGGGTTGCGAGTGAAATTCATGGAGCTTTGGGTGTTCTGAAAGGATTGCAAGTGAGGAGCTTTGGGTGTTCTGAAAGGATTGCAAGTGAGGAGCTTTGGGTGCCCTGAAAGGATTGCAAGTGAAAGTTGTGAAGCTTTGGGTGCTCTGAAAGGATTGCAAGTGAAATTCATGGAGCTTTGGGTGTTCTGAAAGGATTTCAAGTCAAAGTCATGAAGCTCTGGGTGTTCTGAAAGCCATGAAGCCTTGAGTGTTCTGAAAGGACTGCAAGTGAGAAGCTTTGGGTGTTCTGAAAGGATTTCAAGTCAAAATCATGGAGCTCTGGGTGCTCTGAAAGGATTTCAAGTGAAAGTCATAAAGCTTTGGGTGTCCTGAAAGGATTTCAAGTCAAAATCATGGAGCTCTGGGTGCTCTGAAAGGATTTCAAGTGAAAGTTGTGAAGCTCTGGGTGTTCTGAAAGC